AAAAGGGGCTGTAGGTTTTGGGGTGGTGGAGCTGAAGAGCTTATTTTTGCAGGCTCTGGGGTGTTGGCTGGATTTTTAGGAGGCTGCGTGGTCTGAGTGGGTGGCCTCATTTTTTAATAGTCTTTGTGGTGTTTTGAAGAACTCAGGATACTTTTTCTTAAGAGATTCCTTCCCTCAGATGGTCGATGGCATCTGGGCATTGGGATTCCTCTCCAGACCTGCCCAAGCATTATATATATTAAACCCCCCCAAGAATCAGGAGATGAAAGTAAAGATGCTGTTGTCCTTTTCTTTGCAGATGAGACCCAGAGAGGTTTGGGGGGCACTCTGTGTGCTGTAGGCTCTCCTGTGGGTTCATCTGCTGGGAGCTCAGCTCGTGATGCTGGCTGCTGACTCCTCTTTGTCTCTTTTTCCTTTCAGGGGACACCTGGCAAACCAGGGCCAAGGGGGCAGCGTGGTCCAACGGTAATGACCCATTGCTTCATCCTTCTGCTGCTTGAAAGCTTGTGGAGGGGAATATAAGATCTGATTTGTCTCCTCACTGAGTTGCTTCTGACCCTCAGCAGTTAAAGCTGAGTGAAGGGGCCACTGATTTGGGGCTGAGTCTCACCAGTGAGCATGGTTTAAGGTCATCAGTCCTCCAGTGGCAGTGCCAATGGCTCCTGTCATCCCTTGGCTGCTGGTGGGGTGGCTTGTTGGCCCAGTGGAGCTCAGGTGCTTGGGTGCTTTGCGTGCTCACAGTGTGGTGCTGTGGGTAGCAAGAAGGGCTGAAATGTCATCTTTTGTCTTTATTAAGGGTCCACGTGGGGAAAGAGGCCCTAGGGGAAGCACTGGGAAACCCGGCCCAAAGGTAAGGTTTTGGGGAGCCTGTTGGAGTCATCCTGAAAAGTATTGATATAAGAGACCAGCTGGTTAATTTTCCTCCATTTCCCTTCTCTCCTGATCTTCCTTGCTCAGCCAAATGACTCATGACCCACCTGTAACAAATCTGCCCAGATCTTAAAAATGTGTGGTCCCATTTCAGCACAGCAGGACATCAAGTGCATGCACAGACTGAGAGCTGCTGCAACCCTGACACCCTGTCAGGGACCAGCACAAACCTGCAGTGTGCTGGTACTTCCCCTAAGCTCTATTTTTTGGTGTCCAAGTAGCATCTGAACTACCTTAGAGACCTTGGGCTATGCCATGGGTGCAGGGGCACACGTTGCTGCTGGGCTCCAGAACTTTGCACCTCGCCGAGCTGTTCCACGTGCACTCTGTGTGCCCGTGGTTGGGCACCAGGAAAAACAGGTATTTTTCTTCTAGCCAACCCAGAGGCAAGCTCAGTTCCAGACCCTGCTGCAGAGACCAATTAATTGACCATCAATCGCCGGGTTTGATGGAGACAAAGCTTTTGTACTGAGATGTTGTCACCACCACGCTGCTGGCTTTAAAAATAAATGTCTGGGCTTTGTGTTGGCATGAATTTTTGATAAATACCTCGTCTTTGCAGAGGCATTTATCTCTCAGAAGGAGGCTGTTATGTGGTGGAAATATCCTGAGCTCACTGATGTTATCTTTCCTGTATTTGTATGAAGGGATGTGGGGGGAACAAGCAGCTGCTCGTTTGTCACTGGATGCTGCTCCTGATAGAAAATTATTGATGGAGAGGGGCCAGGGGAGCTGCTGGGGTGTGGTGCCACCGTGGGCTCGGTGCCATTTGAAGTCTTTGTGCACAGCAGCTGCAATGGTGGTGGATGTATTTTTAATGGTGTGTTGTTTTGTTTATTCATCAAAGGGCAACTCTGGTGGTGACGGGCCCCCTGGTCCTCCTGGAGAAAGGGTAAGACAGCTCCACGGGGCTAAAGCAGAGCTCAGCCTGATCCTGTTGGGGTAACACAGTAGATGAGGTGGGGTTGCAGGGCTGAGATGGTGCTGAGGGGTTTTGGCAGTGAGCATCCTGCTGCTGTTAAGCAGAGAGATGTGGGCAACTCGCTGGAGGCAGGCTGCAGCTCAGCACACCTCAGGCAGCAAAAAGGAAAAAATCCATTGAGAAACACAAGGTGAGGTGTGCTGGGGTGGAGAGAGGTCTCACAAGTCACCCACAGCACTTAGGTGCTTTCTGAGCTCTCCAGGGAAGGTGTAAATAGGACCTTGGGTGTCCTGTGTGACAGCCAGAGCCCAGGTATTCTGGAGGAGTTGTCCTCTAAGACCTCACACTGTTTTCCCCAGATCACAGCAGGCTAGGTGAAAAATATGGAAACAATGGGACTGTCATGATTTTAGCCTCAATTTCTGCTTCTTTTCCCCCTGAGTTTTGTTTTATTAGTCAATTTTTCTACAAAATTGCCCAAGGAGGAAATATAAGAAATGGGTCCCTGCTTTGCCTCTGCTGCTGCTGCTGCTGCTCAGGAGAAGCAGCACTCTGAAGAACATCAGGGCATGATGCACTGGCCCCAAAGTCACCAGGCTCTCCTCTTTTTCATTCCTGCAGAAGCTGGTAGCTCCCTGGTGCTCTTGCTTGAGCTGGGATGGGAATAGATCTATTTTTCATAGCACTGGGAAGGAAAAGCCCAAAGCTCTTGATAGGTCTCTTCATGTCTGCTGTACTTTTTGCAGCTGGACAAACCACTTGGCTAAATATACCCAGTGGTTCTTAGCTCTTGGTGTATTTTTTTTTCCAGAGGTGGCTCTGTGCAGCAGCATCTCACACTTTGGGGCATTTCTTTGGGGTAGAAGTTGCTGGTTTTCCCTATTTATGTGCTGATCTGCTGTTCACACAGAAGCTGGTATGTCACAGTGAAGCATTATTCATTCCTTAACTATGTTTTCTGCTTTGTTCTGCATCCCAGGGACCACCAGGGCCTCAAGGATCAACTGGATTTCCTGGACCCAAAGGTCCCCCTGTGAGTAACTCTTTCTAGAACGTGCAAAGAAATACAAAAAGTCTTTCCCATCCAGCTGTGCCAGCTCAATCTTAGCTGCTTCTCTGACAAGCAGTGACATACCCAATAAAAGGCATAACTGAGACAGCACGATAACAACCCCATGGTTTAAGATTTTAAATAGCCAAGTAAATTGCAGCTGATTATACATGTTCGTTTCCTAATGACTCAGTATCTCTGGGATCTTTCATGGTTGCTCTGCTCTTTATTTTCCCTCTGTATACTAGGAGGACAGCACAATGGAGTAACACTTCATAACACTCCTGTCCCTGCAGTTATACCCTGGGGGGGCACCTCAGAAACCTTTTGGGAATGATTTCCTTCCCTGTGGTGAACAGCTTGCTCCCACCCTTGACCTTCAAGGCAGATCTTTGGGGAGATATGTGGGAAAGGGCTGTATCTTTGAGGGTTCTGAGCACCCAAATTTCACTGTAAAATGGGTGGGAACTAACACAGGGATGCAAGAGTATTTGACTCAGTCTTTTTCACTGTTTTACTACTGAGCACTTCATGATGTTCCTTCTCACCCTTCTTGTCTGCTGTAGGGTCCTCCTGGGAAGGATGGATTGCCTGGACACCCTGGGCAGAGAGGAGAGACTGTAAGTAGTTAAAAATGATGGGCAGATCATTAATACTGAGTCTCATCTTGCTGGTTGGTTTTTCTAAACCCTTCTGTGCAGCTGGGGAGATGTGGCCACACATTTAGTTTCCCTGAAGGTCTGTGTCTCTCCAGATGAATGGGATGGTCTGTGGGAAGCAAGCTGAGCAGGACAATCAGTCTAATGATGGTTTATGTGGAGGATGTGCACCAACTCCTCTCTCTGCCCCTTTGGTAGATGATGGAGATCAACACTTGCATCATGCCTGGAGAAAACAGGGATGGAGAGATGAAGTGATGCTGATGGCTGGCACTGGAGGAAGTTGGGGGTTTGCTGTGATGGATGCTGCAGAGGCAGCTCCTCACAAGCTGTGGGAGGATTGAGACTGGGTCAGCACCAGTGCTTGGTGTGGCTCTTGCTTTTGTGAGGTGGAGAAGCAGCTGGGGGGGATTTCTGGGCTGCAGAAGGGCTCGTTCCTTTGGCCTCCCAGGGGGGAAGGCTGTGCCTCTGCTCTCTGGAGGGTAACTGCATGCTTTGGAGGTGTGCAGGTATTACATCTGTTCCAGAGGCACATCTCTAGAGCTCTGATAGCAGAAACTATTCCTGTAAGACCAGCTCAGCTTCCCACACCCAGCTCTGTTAGGTCAGGGGCATCTTTTTCTCTGGGACCTGCAAAGGGGAAAAATAAATATTCTCTGCTTCTTAATGCACCATGTGGCCAACACCAAGAGCTGATGCATAGCAGAGAAGAGCTACAGCCCAGTTTGGACAGCACTTGTTTTGAGAGGAAGGCAATTCCTGGCCAGAGATGATGGGTGTAATGATTTTGCTTTAGTTTTTCTGTCCACACCAGTTACTGCAGCACATTTATGTATCAGCCACTACCTTGGCACCTGAGCAAGAAGAACACCTCTGCTGATGCTGCCTTGTAGCCAAAGCTATGCACAGGGGCCTCACCACATTTTGCTTAAGCCCCTTCCAACAATAACCTGACTCTGAAGCCCAGGGAGCAGCTCCTGGCTCTCTAGGAACCTCACTGTATCCTCCTCCCACTGCTTGGTCCATTGGACAAGGGTTTGTTGCACAGATGTAATCATTGCTTCTCACCAAAGGAGAATGCTGAGGCATGGGGAAGGTGTGATCCCCTGGCTGCCCTGCATCTCTGGTGATCTGTTTTCTGCACCTTTTTTTTTGGCTTGAAGGATATCTTAAGTGGAAATGACCCTTCTGCCATGTAGTCCTCTGCATGCAGTAACTAGTATCTCTTTGGCATTTGGGGGGATGTTTTTTCCTCAGCTCATTCACTGTTATGTCCCTCTCCCCATCATGTTAGCAGATAGACTCCTCATTCTGTGTTTCTTTTACAGGGATAAAAAAAAACCACCTGAATTTCCTCTACTCAGCTTTGCATTTTCTCCCCTTTTTCACTCCCTTTTCCCACTCCTTTCCTAGCAAACAAAAAAAGCATTAAAAAGGCTTTGCACATCATGCATTTTTTCTCAGCTTATCACCCAATCTAATTGACTTGCCTGGCATTTGCTACGCAGAGGCTGCTCAGCACCCCAGGTATTTATTTACACTGCAGAAGATTGATTTGAAGGCAGTGGTGGTGGTATTTTTGAGCACGCAGTGCTCAGGTGAGGATTAACTTAATGGTGAAGAGAAGAGTTTTCACCTGTCAGAGCCTGGCTGTGACATTTAGTCTTCCTTCATTATCTTATAACAGCCAGGACACCTACGTTCACGTCGGAAGAAGCAGTAAAAGCTTTGCTTGCATCTGCTGTTAGCAGCTTTTGAGACTGGAATAAAGCATCAAACTCCCAAGTCTGCAGGAATATGAATGGAGAATGAGCTTTCAATTATTTGGGGTCTGAGAGTGATCCCTGATAGCTTGCTTCAGTCATTGCAGCAGGAACTTGCCTGTCACAGCAAAACCTTCCAGCAAACAACAATTCTGTTAATTTGCCCCAAGAACAAGTTTGCAGAGCCAGGTAGAAGTCCCTTTTTCTGTCCCTCTTTCCTTACACAGTGAGGAGAGAAACCTAGAAACAAATTAAATGCTATCTTTATAGTAGTAGCCTTGTCAGTGCACTCTGTGCTTTCATCTAAGACAACCTAGACTTGAAATTCTGTGTTTGACTTTGAGCTGCAAACAGGCACGCTGGAGGATGCTGAAATATTTGGCCATCCTAAATGTGCAAAGATTGAATCTCAAAACAACAAAACAAAAATAAAAACAGTGAAAAATCCCTTGTGCCCCAAGGCTCAAAGAGGAGAAAAGGAAACCCCTTTCTTCAGATTAATAAGTCCTGCACAGAAATGGCTGAAATATTTGTCTACGAGAAGAGTTTAAATGGTACATTCATTTCACAAAGATGTTTTTCCAGTTCCCCATCAATGACAGGATATTTTCTGTGATCTGCAGACAGCTAGAATAACATTGAGGAGGGTTTTTTTTTTTTTAGCATGATACGTTACCGTTGGCTTGGGATTTATCTGATCCTCTTTTGTGGCAATGAGAAAACAGCCTGTGTGCCCTCAACGACATTTCTCAAGCTTGTCAGCACGCTATAGTAAGAATGATAATTAATGTGCTTTTTAAAGAGTGGCTTAGGAGAGCTAAACAATTGCAGTGGTGATAGTTCGTTATTGTCACTCTTCAAAATGTCCTTATAAGTAGCTGTCAGGGAGACTTTGCTACTCAGCAGCATTTGGAAAGAAACACATTTGTGATTCCTTTCAACAGACACTGATGAAGGACACAGAGCTGCAGTCAGCCCCAGGCTGGTGGTTATGGGGGCAGTGGGGCTGGAGGTAGGAGCTGCTGGTGCCCAAAGTGGAAGATGGTCACCCAGCTTCTGAGCTCCTCAGACCTAAGCTTAAACCAGCACCAGAAAGGGGAGCAGGAGAAGGGAAAAATGGCTTTTAGGAGTTGCTCAGCATGAGGAAACTCACCCTGACTTTGGAACAGACATTTCCTCTTTAGGTTTTATGAGTGCAGCAGTTTTTTTATATATATGGCCAGTCCTTCAGCCAAACCACAGTAGCTCCATTGAAACAGCAGAGCTGAGCTTTGAGAATCCCTGTTTCTTCCTCTGTTTCACCCTTATATAGATGTATAGAGACACATTTTCCACGTTGTGTTTGATTTCTTGTTTCCTTTGTCTTTGGGTGTCCACCTATTCCTGGTCAGTAGTTTCACCAGAGGAGTGGTTGGGTGGCAGTCTGTGACCCTCACTGGAGTACTCCTTGGCAGAATTGTCATCTCTCCCCCTTTTCCCTTTCTCTACCAGGGTTTCCAAGGCAAGACAGGCCCTCCAGGACCCCCTGGTGTTGTAGGCCCTCAGGTAAGAAACAAATGCTCATGCTTGCACAAGCTCCTCTTCAGCAGTTCATCACAGCAGGACCTCACAGCACGGGTGGTTCAGCTGGAGCTGCTGGGACCATGGATTGGACAGCAGGGAGACTCCTCTTCCAAGGAAGGCAAAGTCATGTTGGAGCAAACTTGATGGCTTTGAAATTCCTGGCCAGGGTGTGAAATACCCTGATGGGTCCTAGCCCTTGTCGAGATGCTGGGATGGTGTTTAGACAACAAGGCTGCTGTAAATAAGGTGGTTCCTGGGAACCATTGTGAAGAAATGCATCCCTCTGATATGACAGGCCACCAGATTCTGTCAGACCTGGGCTGTTTTTCTTGTAGTCACATGGAACTCTCTGCAATCTGGAAATAGTAACTGCACAGCCAGAATTTGCAGCCCTGCAGTACAGGCATGGACTGAGTAGGACTGAGTTTGGGCTGAGTCTTCTTTCCTGAAACTGCTGGAGAGGTTGCTCTTTAATGAGAAAGTCATTAATTTGTCCTCTTTAACAGCAGTGTGAGGTCCCAGATTTGGAAATTCCCTGGTTAGGGGCAATCCCCTGACTGCATATGTCTTCTCAAGAGCAAATTAGGTTTTTTGATTGCCCTTCTCCAAAATGGACCACTGGAGAACCTTCTGTGTTGGGCCTTGTGTTGCTCTCATCACTGTTAGTGCCCATGTACAGCACAGAGGCAATCAGTAATCTCCATGTAGTACAAGCCTAATCCATTATTTATGCCTCATATAAGGAAGAATCAGTGTGGTTGTAGAGTATTTTGGAAGTTTTCAATTAAAAAACCCCTAAGCATAATAGTTGTAGTAATATCTCATCTCTGTGAGCTCTTCCATTCCAGAGGTTCCCAGTGCTTGTAGGCTGTCAAGTGCAGTGTTGCTCACTTCCCAAACGAGGTCCTTTTAGATTGCCAAAGGAGACATCTCTGCAGGGATTCCTGGTGGCCCTGCAGGGGACAGCTAAGGGAAGGAGCATCCTCCATCTCATTGCAACCTAAAGGACTAAACTGATAGCCTGCACCTCTTCACTGTTTGCTGCTGTCCCCCTGACCTTCTCCCCCATCTTTCTTCAGGGTCCAACTGGTGAGACTGGGCCGATGGGTGAGCGGGGCCATCCAGGCCCTCCAGGTCCCCCAGGTGAACAAGGTCTTCCTGGACTCACTGGCAAAGAAGGGACCAAGGTAGGGACCAGCAGCCTCCTGAATTCACCCTCCTTGGGCACCTGCCTCTCTGCCAGAGGTGGAGGGGGGTAATTCAGAGACGTTTCACAGCATCGCATCACACCTTGAGCCCAGAGGGAGGAGCTGGGTCCCTGTGGAAGCTGCAGATGCGGGGTCCCTGTGGTCTGGAACCTGCAGGTGCTCAGCTACTTCTCCTTGGTGGTGCAGGGGGACCCTGGACCCGCTGGCCTCCCAGGGAAGGATGGTCCCCCCGGCTTGCGAGGCTTCCCTGGGGAGAGAGGTCTCCCCGGCCCCATTGTGAGTAGAAGCTGCTCCCTCCTTCCAAGGATGCCCAAGGTGGTACAGCACCCACTGCCCAAAATGACTTTGCTCTCTTCCCCCAGGGTCCTACCGGGCTGAAAGGCAACGAGGGTCCCCCAGGCCCCCCCGGCCCCGCAGTGAGTATCCTTCCTTGCCCTCCCAGGCACCACCTAATCCCAAAACAGAGGGTTGGTCACAGCTTGGTGCTTCACCTGGTACTTCCTTTGCAGTGACCAAAGGCTTGCTGGGCAGTGCTCTGTTTTACAAGACACATGCCATAGCTTGGTCATTTTGTGTTGTCAGCAACGGGCATCCGTGACAAGCTGAAGGAAGAGGAATGATGGGGGACATGGAGAGTTATGCTTCTAAGTCAACTGCTTTCCCTCTGAAAGTTAAACCCTCCTGAGATTCACTCTCGCTGTAACCCTCCTGCAAGAAAATATCCATCATCCAACCCTACCTGCTGCACTGGCCAGGAAGGGGCTCATGGTGTTGTTCCAAGCTGATAATGTGACCCCAGGAACTGAGCTTCTTTGTACCACCCAGAGAAGAACCCAGCCCTAGCAGGGGTTTTAATTATATTAAAAAAATCTGTAGGACCTCTTAGGCTGATGGTATCAAGCCATTGTATGGCAGGCACCTCATCAGCTCTGCTGATTTACTGAGGATGCATTTGCTGCATCCTCCTGCTGGGTTTCTTTCTGTCTGTCTATAGATGAAGCTCAATACTCCAGTGAATGCTCCCTTCCTTCTTCTCACTGCTCCCTTCCTTCCATATGGCAGGCACCTCATCAGCTCTGCTCATTTACTGAGGATGTATTTGCAGCATCCTCTTGCTGGGTTTCTTTCTGTCTGTCTTTTCCTTCTTCTCACTGCTCCCTTCCTTCTTCTCTGAACAGGGCTCCCCTGATGAAGCTCAATACTCCAGTGAATGCTCCCTTCCTTCTTCTCACTGCTCCCTTCCTTCTTCTCTGAACAGGGCTCCCCTGGCGAGCGTGGTCCTGCAGGATCAGCTGGCCCCATAGGCTTGCCAGGGAGACCTGGCCCTCAAGGACCTCTGGGACCTGCAGGTGAAAAAGGAGCCCCAGTAAGTACCAGTATAAAGATTAACAGCTATGGGTCAAATAGAAATGTGTATAGTAGGAAGCTGAGCATGTCAGCATGGAGACATTCCCTGGGGTAGGTATAGAAAAGATTTAAAAAAAAAGAATTAGGGATTTTCAGAATTTTCTCATGTTGGGTGCATCAAACCACTGAACATGAGCTGCTGTGACACCAGTGCTGTCAAAAGGTGGATGTGATCCCAAGGACCAAAACATCTTGAGGCAATGAGAAGGGATGAAGATTGAACAGGCCAATGAACAACCTGTGTGACCTCCTAGTGACAAACAGCCAGAGGACAGGCCTCTGGGCAGAGAACTGAGCCAGCCCCATCCCTCCTTACAGGGGTACAGCTACAGCAACGATTTCCCCAAGGACCGAAACATCTTGAGGCAGTGAGAAGGGCTGAAGATTGAACAGGCCAATGGACAGCCTGTGTGACCTCCTAGTGACAAACTCTGGGCAGAGAACTGAGCCAGCCCCATCCCTCCTTACAGGGGTACAGCTACAGCAACGATTTCCAGTGAGCCCAGCTCCCTCCCCCCCCCCTGCCCGGCCGGGGGACCCACATGGAGATGCTGCAGAGGGGTCCAGCTCCATTTCCTGGGGTGCTCAGGAGCCTGCTGGCACCCGTGGGAAGGGCTGCTCCCAGTGGGATGGATGAGCTTGTGCCATCTGGTGCCTCTGGCAGTGCTGGCAGCCAGCCTGTGCCACCTCACACGGCTCTCGCTGCCCAGGCGGGCGTGTGGAGCATCACGTGTGGGCAGGAGAGAGGGGCTGGGGGGGTGTTTCTGTCTCTGAAAGCATGGCACCGTGGTGGGCTCCAGGAGGAATGGTCCTGCCTCTGCTTCGTGCCCAAATGCCTGTGCAGGGAGTTTTGTTTTGCTTCGATCCCAGCAAAGTGAGCAGATGGAATTCGGGGACTCCAGACTGCGTGAGGACACTTCCCATGATGGATTGTTGTGAGCAAAAGTGTTGATCAGCCTCTGTGTTCCACATTTGCTGGCTTATTAGAAACTCCAGCAGCTAGTCCAGAGGCAAGAATTTCCCTGTGAATCAACTTCAGGAACATCTGTCCTGCCAAGTACCTATATGATGTATCAGTGGATAGATGAATAGGCAATTTATGTGGCATCTAATTATCCTGAAGAGAGCACCCAGGATTCAGATGCAATTAAATTATGTATGAGGAAACAGAAATATTCACTGCTCAGTTCCTATAAACAAACAAATTCAGTTGGAAGCTCCAGGTCTGGGGAAGATGAGAAGATGTTTGAGCAGGAGATGGATTTTTTTTCACAGCAGATGTTTTCCTTTGTCCAGGAGCTCATATGGGAGCTCAAGACCTCCTGAGAAACCCCTGTTAGGTGGGGATGAGCTGGGGAGGGAGCAGGCAGTGAGTGCTGAGCCAACCACCACCAGCATCAGTAAAAACTGGCTGTGGAAATAAAAACGAGTTGAGGTCTTGTTTGTCATCCAGAGAGATGGCAGAAGGTTCAGATAAAATCTGATTATTTTGCTATAGCAGTGAAATAGCAGCTGCAATCTGGGTGTTCACCATTTAGATTTGTTTGTTCTTTATCTCTGGAGACAGGAATTCTGTCTCCTTTCAGACAGCCAGCACAGGGAGCCTGGTGAAATAGCAGCTGGAAAGCAGTTTTGCTGTACATGCCTATATAGTCTGGGGTCATTAGCAGCTGAATAAAACGCTAATGGGATGTAATGGGTTGGAGCTCTTTGTGACCTGCCTGCTTTTGTTCTGCTTCCAGGGAGAGAAGGGTCCTCAAGGACCAGCTGGCCGAGATGGCATCCAGGGCCCCGTGGGACTGCCAGGTCCAGCAGGTCCTGTCGGCCCCCCCGGGGAGGATGGAGACAAGGTGGGAGCACAGGGTCACTCTGGGAAGCACCTGGGCAACGTGCCCTCTTGCCACCATGGGTTGGATGTGCTGGGTGGAACACCAAGATGATTTATGGTGCTTTCAATCCCATGAAATCAGCAGCATCCGACCTGGGAAGCAGTGGGTGAGCTGGGCTGGGCATGTGCTGCCAGCCAAACTGCTTGCTGAAAACCAGTTAGCCTCCTCCAAAGCCTGCAGCAGGGGCCTGACCTTTCCAAATTAATTACCCTTCCCCACTCCCTCATTAAGCCCCTCTCAACTGGAGGATTTTTAGAAAACATTATCTGGGATGAATCACTCCTGGCCGCTCACAAGGGCTGCAAAATGATGCTTCTGGCACCACGTGGCACCTAAAGGAAGTTTTAGCATGTAAAAGAGTTTGATTACCTCTGGAGTAGTCAAATCTCTGGCTTTTTTTCAGAACATTCTGGGGTATTTCTGTGGGAATGGGCATCTTTGGGCTATGGCTTGAATGGGGAGGTATGGAAGTGGTCACCAAGTGAACTGACTGTGCCCCTTTGTACCTGGCAGGGGGAGATCGGGGAGCCTGGCCAGAAGGGCAGCAAGGGTGACAAAGGGGAGCAGGTGAGTAGGGGGGAGGTTGTCGTGGCTGCTTCCCTGGAGGAGCAGGGTTCTGGTGTGTGACTGGCTGGAAACAGAAAACAGCATCATTTTCATTTCCTTCTATCTTTGCTTCGTCTTCTCCTTGGCGCCGTCAGATACCCCCATGATGTAAAAATAAGTGAGTGCCTGAAGAAGGAGCCTCCAGCTCTCAGGAACACACTGAGAGGTTTCCATGTCCCCCACCTTCTGTGTGGCTCCCTGTGAAAGACTACCAGCCCTTGCCATTAAAGCTGGGTGTTTGGCTGGAGGTTTTTCCAGTTGCTTGCAGCATACTGGAGCACCCTCCCTGTGCTGCTCTGAGCCTGGGGAAGATAAATTACACCCAAGTATCTAGCTAGAACTGAGTGGTGTGATATTGCTTGGCTGGAGCAGAAATGCTGTTAGAGGTGTCTGTCACCCCGTTGGCACCAGAGCTGAGGGATGCTGATGTGTCCACGGAGACCTGACCCTCTCCTGCCTCTCAGTTTTGTGCATTTCATGAGGTTTTATTGAAGAGAATCTCCTTTTCCAGGTGAGTTTTTTACTCTCTGATCCTAATGGGGATATTGCACTTTTGTTTCATGACAGGGTCCACCAGGTCCTACCGGCCCACAGGGTCCAATTGGGCAGCCTGGCCAAGCTGTGAGTATTGTCCCTCATTGGCAGAAATCCCCTTTTTTTACCTTAAAATCTGGGAAGCAAGGATTGGCAGTTTCTGCCTGGCACTGTTCATGCCCAACACGTGAGCTGGGGCATTGCTGCTGGATGTGGCTGAAGGTAGTGATGAGGAAGGGGATGAGGCTTTGCATCTACCTAGGGTCTTTGCTAAGCTGCTGGACTCCTTCCTCACAGGGTGCTGATGGAGAGCCAGGTCCCAGAGGACAGCAAGGCCTCTTTGGTCAGAAAGGTGATGAAGGACCCCGAGGTTTCCCTGGTCCCCCTGGCCCGGTGGGCTTGCAGGTAATTTTGCAGCATCGAGGGAGGGCTTAGGAAAATGAGAGCTGGGGCTCCACCAGAGAGATTTGCAGCTAAAACTCATCCCCTCCACCTCCACAGGGCTTGCCTGGGCCACCTGGTGAGAAGGGAGAAACAGGGGACGTTGGGCAAATGGTAAGGTTTCACACATCTTTTTTTCCTCAGTGATACAGAGAATGCTCCAACAAACATGTCTTAAATTTTCTCCTCTTTCTCTCAGGGCCCCCCAGGCCCACCTGGACCCAGAGGTCCATCTGGACCACCAGGAGCAGATGGTCCACAAGGTCCTCCTGGTGGAATAGGAAATCCTGGTGCAGTAGGAGAGAAGGTAAAGCCTCCAGACAAGCCTGACTGAAGCCTGCAGCAGACTGCAACAGCAGGCATGCAGGAGCTGTGCTGTGTCAGCAGAAAACTCAACACCCTGCAGAAAGATAACTGGCATCACCCTCTTTTCCCCCTCCACAGGGTGAACCTGGTGAATCTGGTGAGCCTGGGCTGCCTGGCGAGGTTGGCCTCCCGGTGAGTGTGCTGTGAGGTGGTGCTAAGATTGCTCTGATGGAGAAGAGCTCTTCTTCAGTGGTGTCCCCTGAGGAGCTGTGGTGGCAGAGAGTCATGGATGTGGATGGGGCTGCAGGGACTCAACAGCCATGTCCTTGGGTTGGGTGTTGGGCAGTGTATTGCCATGCTAGTGGGTATTTATGGTGTAATATTTAGTCAAGGAATATGGGCTACCCGTGGCTGAACAACATGGACACCATCAAATCTCTGTGGGAAGGGTCTGCTAAATCATGTCCCTGTGTTTTGCAAGACAAATAGAGCTTCTTTCTCATAAAAGATAATGGGAGATTGGCAAGTTGCTTTCCTGGATAATAGAAACACCCTTTTTCCTTTACAGGGTCCTAAAGGTGAAAGGGGTGAAAAGGGTGAAGCAGGTCCCTCTGGTGCTGCTGGTCCACCTGGCCCCAAAGGTCCACCAGGAGATGATGGTCCCAAAGGCAGCCCTGTAAGTACCCCCTCCTGTTCAGGCACTGCTTGTTTGTCTCACCCAGTAGAGATTTCTGCATGAAAAGATGTTTTCCAGAGATTTTTTGTGAAAATCTGAGGGAGTTTACCAGCCGGAGAACTGCTCCTCTAATGACCTGTGATATTAGTCCCCTTCTTTAGGGTGATAATGAGGAAAAGACCCAGCTGTATCATATCCTCCAGCAAAATCTTCAATTATTAGTTCTTTTTGCAGGCTATCAGAAAACTCACCCCTATGGAGAGGGCCTGCAGCAGGCTTACTTTGCTCTTGAGTTTATGTATTGCCAAGGTCCTCTGCACCAGAGTGAAGCTTCCAAAATAGCATAGAGGAGATTTATATGAATGTGGGAGTTGTACCTCTAGGGTCAGATCCCTGCTGCTGCTAATTGCTGTAGCTCTATTGAAGCCAGTGGAGCTATACTGATTTATATCAGATGATAATGGTACAGTATTTATCTTGTGGGTTCTTTGATGCTTGCTGGCTGGAGAAATTTATTATGCGATAAGCAAAGATGGCATGAAACAGCAGAGGAGGCAGGGGAGTTAGTCATCTCTTAACAGATGGGTTTTTGGGACATCACGTTATTAGTTGAAGCCTATTGTCTGAACACTGGTCTCAGAACCATTTGAAGTACCCAGCAGACGTTGTGTGGAGAAGAATGGTGAAGTGTTTTAGTCATGAAATGCTTTGGGAGGATCTTCACGTGAAGGATGTTCCGCGTCGTGTAGTAAGGAAAAGCAAAATCAGCTCATCTGCACATTCCCCAAAGCTGCCAGGATTTTGTCACTTGTCCAATGTAATTATGAAAAATTAGATGAACCTCCCAGTGCTGCCTCTGGAGCTTTGCATGGTCTGGTGGCTGTAACGGGATGAAACTGCTGAAGATGCAAAGGTGGGATGTGATCAGGGATTGTGTCTGAGGGTAGGAACTGGGGGGTTGTTCCACAGGTTTTGTTCCCTGTGTTGTCACTGGGGTAGCAGGCACTAGTACTGTGCAGTTCTCCAGGTGCAATATTTTTGACTTGGGGCTGTCTTTTTCTCTTTTCAGGGTCCAGTTGGTTTCCCTGGTGACCCTGGTCCTCCTGGAGAACCTGGTCCAGCTGTAAGTGTGTGTCCCACAGAGGGGCAGTTAATTCCTCCTCTTGCTTTCCTGAAAGACACCTGTCTGCTGTTGATCCACCTGCAGCTCCTCTGCCATTTACTTTTCCATCACTTGGAGAGAGCAGGAAATCCCACCATAAGACTGTCTGACCATGCTGCAACCTTTGGAGCAGCAGCTACAGGAATCCTGCTGTCCACAGGATTTGACATGGGACATTTGCTGTTACCAGTGTTCTCAGCAGGAGATGGGAAGGGATGGTGCCCAGGGGTGTGAAGACCAGCTGAACCACACCTCCTGCTGCTGACACTGTTCAGCTCCATCCAGCCCCTAAATACACCTGCTTGTTTCTTCCTTTTTAGGGTCAGGATGGTCCTCCTGGTGACAAAGGTGATGATGGAGAACCTGGACAGACTGTGAGTAACTGGATAGATGAGACCTATTCCCCATCAGTCCCCGTGGTTTCTGTGTGTGCAGGTCCAAGGAATTTTAACACAGAAAGACACAGAGCATCTAATTCCCCCCAGCTTCTCCTGCCCTGATCCCCTCATCCCAGTCCCTCCTGTCCGTGCCAGCCTGGCTGCTGCCATCCATCCAGGCTGCACAGCCATACATCCTGAAAGCATAAAATTCACTGAAGGAAAAACCAAATCTAAGTCTTTCCTGTTAACTTTTGCCTGCCTTATGGTGTTTCATGGTGGGAAGGGATAAAACAAGATACCACCTGCACCCCCGGGGAGGTGTTGGAGTCGCACGGGCTGCCCACGCCTCAGCTGGGTGCAAACTGCATCTCAGCTCCAGTTTTACACCTTTGCTTCTCCTTTCTCCATCCCCTGGTGAAGTTATGGCTTGTTCTCCTCCTCTTTCTCTCTCCATCTAGGGTTCCCCTGGTCCCACAGGAGAGCCAGGCCCCTCTGGCCCCCCAGGAAAAAGGGTAAGCTGATTATTGAGGAGGGTGTTTCTGAATTTATCAGTGTGGATATTTTGAAACTAATGTTATTGCTACAACTACAAATGCAAGGCAGTAGTGTGTAAAGTAGTATTAACAAAAAAAAAATAAACCCTTATGAGCCATCCACAGGCACTGGAAATTGCTGGGAAATTGTCAACTGGATCCCATGGGGTTTTTTTTAGATTTTAACACCCAAAAGAACATACAAGTATGAGGTATTCCTGCCTTGCTGGAAGAGCCCAGGGATTCATTGAGCAAGAAGCTAATTTAAAAAGCTTTTCAGAGATATTTGTCTCCATTTGGTCTTCTTCCCTTGGGCTGCAGCATCATTTTGCTAATTCCACTAAACCATTTTGGATCAGTGGGATCTAATTGTGTTTTGCATCTGTTTTGTGCCTTCTCCAGGGCCCTCCTGGTCCAGCTGGTCCCGAAGGAAGGCAAGGAGAGAAAGGAGCCAAGGTGAGGGCTGAATGGGATGTCACCACTTCTGCAGTGCCCTTTGTGTGCCAAAAGGATCACCCTCTGACAATGCTGGTGTTTGAAAGGCAGCTATTTGGTTTTGCTGTGTTTATGACACATCACCCTGAATTTGGGGCCACTGGCCTCAAATCTAAGCTTATGCTTCATCTTTTAACAAACTCTGTGGAGATAATTCGGGCTTGGTAAGGTCATGAGAATGTTTTTCTTGTTTTGAAAGGACAAAGTGCCATATTTGGCAATTGAATGTGTTGTAAGTAATGCAGAGAGGAGAGGTCTCTGTCCTTTCCCAGGGCAAACACAACATTATTGGACCATGATTGTTTTGGTGGGAGTGGTGGGGAAATTATAGATCCAACTGTTGTGACAGCAGCAGGGAAGC